GCATTTGACTGCTAACCAGAAGGCTGGCGGTTCAAACCCACCAGCCACTCCTCAGAAGGAAGGTTGGGCAATCTACTTCTGTAGTGATACCGCCTCAGAAACCCAGGGAGGGGTTGCTATGAGTCGGATTCGACTTGACAGCAGTGCATTTGGGTTTTTTCTTCTTTAAGTGCCTGTTGATTTATAAATATGTTGGGAGTGTGCTTGATACATTTTGAAGCATTTGTTTGTTTATATTTTCATTTGGAGAGACTGCCAGGTTGGCTGTAATCTTTATGGAAGCCAATCGCCAGGTCTGCTCTTCCGTGGTTTTCCTACGTGGATTTGAACTGGCACCCTTTCAGTTAGCAGTCAAATGCAGACTGTCTGTGCCACCCAGGGACTTTTCAATACATTTTTTATGACCATTGTTCTGAAAGAAGAAATCCAGTATTATTTCATAATATGCCCACCGCATATCTCTGTTTTATTCTTAGAAACAGCCCAAAGACTGTTGCCTGACATACAAAGCTTTCTGCTCTTTCCTTATTTACTAATTGGTTTTCCTCTCCCTTTGAATTTTAAAAAGCTTATATCCTGTATTCCTACAAGCACATTCACTGTGAATACAAAAATGTTATATCCTCAATGAAACTTAAGAATATAAAATAAAATTTTTCTTTGCTTTATAATACTTTACCTTATACATACTTTTATTATTGGGTCTGTAACACTTATTGAGTATATTTATTTGCATGTATTCCTCTCTTAACTTGTAACTTGTCTTGATTAGGGTCTATGTTTTATTCACTTTTAGATCTACCAGACAAGTAGTCATTCAAGGTAAATAGGGTAATCTTAGTATATATTTTTAGTATGATATAATATAAATACTGATGAATGTATTTTCAGAGTGATTTTCCTATAATATAACATATAAAACAACAAAACTAGTTTCGACAAGCGAATATGGTCAGAACTGCCATAACTGTAACCTATTATGCAGTTGATTGTGATACTATAGGACAAACTAGAACTGCCCCGTAGAGCTTCCAAGGCTGTAATCTTTGTGGAAATAGATTGCCACATCTTTCAGTCACAGAGCAGCTGGTGGGTTTGAACCACTGACATTTTGCTTTGCTGCTGAGTGCTTTAACCACTGTGCCACCAGTGCTCCTTTTATGGTCAGAATTAGGTCCCTAATATCTAGCTTTCAGCCAGCTCTGATCACTTCAGGATGAACTAGAGTATGCCCTTACAGGGATCAGTGTCATTCAAGGATGTGACCGTGGACTTCACCCAGGAGGAGTGGCAGCAGCTGGATCCTGCTCAGAAGGCCCTCTACAGGGATGTGATGTTGGAAAACTATTGTCACTTCATCTCTGTGGGTAAGGAAAACTTGAATTTTTTGATGTTATATATCTCTTTCAAGAATTCTTGAAACATAATGGAACTTTGAATTTCAGGGATCTGAGGTGACGAATCCCTCTCGTTAGCAGAAAGTATGATTATGTCCTCACTTTCTCATTGCAAGGTATTACCTTTGGTAAGATGTAAATGTATATACCTCATTTGCCACCCTAAAGCTGTCTCTTTCTCTCCCTTCAATGGCTCTGAAGCCCAAGCAGCTTAGACCAAGTCTCATTTTTCATTATCAGGGTTTCACATGCCTAAACCCAACATGATCTGCAAGTTGGAGCAAGGAGAAGAGCTATGGACAACAGAGAAAATTTATCCAAGGCAGGCCTACCTTGGTGAGTCTGACTAGATGAAATCTAGTAGACGTTATATCTCAGATAGTTGACATGTTTAAACGTTTTAAGGGATCTATTTTTTTTTTCCTTTTTTATTACTGTTGGGAAAAGATATATACCACATTTACCAATTCAACATTTTTCATGTGTACAATTTAGTGATACCAATTATATTAACCATGGTATGCAACCATCACCAATAATCATTGCCAAATTTTCCATCACCATGAACAAAAATCATGGTTTCCTAAACAGTGATTCCCGTTTTCTCCCTCCCTCCTGCCACTGGTAACTGCTAATAAACTTTGATGTCTATACATTTGACTATTCTAGATATTTAATTATAAAATATTTAATATTTAGATATTAAGATATTTAATATTAAAAAATTAAGATATTTAAAATATTTATTTAAATATATTTAAATTATTATTTAAATATTAAGATATTAAATATTAAGCTATTTAATATTAAAAAAAAAAAAACTCCCTGTCGTTGAGTTGGGTCCAACTCATAGCAAGCTCTCCTTGGGTTTCTGAGGTGGTATCACTATGGAGGTAGATTGCCCAACCTTCCTTCTGCGGAGTGGCTGGTGGGTTTGAACTGCCAGCCTTCTGCTTAGTGGTCAGATGTCTTAGGCACTACGCTACCAGAGCTCCCTAGATAGTTCATATAAGTAAGAGCATATAATATTTATCCTTTTGTGATGGACTTATTCAGCAAAATACTATCAAGGTTCATCCATGTTGTAGCATGTATAGGACTTCATTTCTCTTTATGGTTGAGTATTATTTTATTGTATGTGTGTACCATATTTTATTTATCCATTCATCTGTTGATGTACATTTAGGTTGTTCCACCTTCTTTTTTTTTTTAATTGTGATTTGGGTGAAAGTTTTTTTTGTGTATGTGTGTTTAATCACATAATGAGAGAAAGTTTACAGGGCAAATTCATTTTCCATACAGCAGTTCAGACCCATTTTGTCTCATGACATTGACTACAATTCTCCACAAAGTAACAGCTCTTTTCCCACTTCCTCCCCATAGTTACCTCTTCCCTGTGTCTTTTGGTCACATGCACTCCCATGCCCTGAATTGTCTCCCTACGCAAACACTGCCCTTCTGTTCTCCCACGATTGATCGCACCAAGTAATGTATCTTCCTGATGTAAGTGTTCACCCTATATGCCTGTCTGTTGTTTGGCTAGAAGCCACAGGAGTGAGTTCAATTCCAGACCTGAAGGATGGCTAGGGGCCATTGTCTCAGGGGTCTTACCAGGCTCTATCAGACCAGCAAACCTGGACTTTTATTATTATGATTTTGAGTTTTGTTCCACATTATTCTTCCACCCTATCCAGGATTTTCTGCATCGATCCCCTTCTGAATGGTTGACAGAGGTAGTGGGGACCATCTAGTTCTTTTGGTCTCGTGATCTTATAGGCTGAAGAATGCAAGGTCTACTAGTCCCTTGGACTGATTATTTCCATGCATCTTTGGTTTTCTTCATTCTTCTTTGCTGTGGACAAGGAGAGACCTAGCATTGCAATTAGATAGCTGCTTGTAAGCTTTTAAGATTCCAGTCACTACTCACCAAAGTAGGATGTAGAACAATGTTTTTATGTAGCATGTTATGCCAGTTGAGCCCACAGGTCCAACTACTTGCTCCCTCTAGGTAGCTGGCTGTGGCCAAGATGCCACCACAACCTTGCCCTTTGTGAACTCTACGATACATCTGGACATTCTTACAGCAGATACAAATATGCATGTAGAAACACTGTCTGCTAACCCTGTATGTGGTCATGGGCATGGTTTTTCCACGTTTTGACTATTACGAACAGTGCTGCAGTGACCATTGATGAATATGTGTTTGCATTGCTGCTTTCAAGTCTCTTGGTTATATACCTAGGAGTGGAATTGCTGCATCATATGGTAGTTCTGTATTTACTTTTTTGAGGAACTACCAAACTGTTTTCCACAATGTATGTACCATTTTGCATTCCTACCAGTAATGGATAAGGGTTCTAATTTCCCTGCACCCTCACCAACTTTTACTGTTTTGCATTTTTTTGCTCTTGGCCATCCTAGTGGGAGTGAAGTAGTATCTCATTGTGGTTTTGATTTGCATCTCCCTAATGGCTAATAATGTTGAGCATTGTTGGCCATTTGTATATCTTCTTTAGTGTAATATCTCTTCAAATCCTTTGCCCATTTTTTTGATTGGGCTGTTTGTCTTTTTGCTGTTAATTTTTAGGAGAGCTTTATATATTCTGGGTATTAAACATTTATCCTGTGTGTGATTCCCCCAAATTTTCTTCCAGTCTGTAGGTTATCTCTTCACTTTGTTGTTAAAAGTCCTTTTTTGAACATAGGGGTCTATTTTTAAAGGCCTGAAATCTTTAAAGTGACTATATGTGGTTGACTTCCAAGCCTCTAGAATCTAAATTTTAGTTTTGAGTATCACTAACTCCATGTAAATCTGTTCCTTGTTTGCCTTGTATTTATGGAAATACTGGTTGCTATTACCTTACCAAGAGTCTATTCCATGCTCTGTAGTATGATTTGTATACATATAGAACTTAAATGGAAAGTTCTTTGAGTTTGACAGCAGTATAAACCCAGGTGTCGCAATTAAGGATCAGACCCTTTCCAAGTCAGTCCATCCCACTAGGACAATCACAGTTGTGATTTCTACCAGCATAGATTAGTTTTCTTTATTCCAGACGTTTTTCACGTCTGCTTTCTTTCACTCAGCTTACTATCTGAGAGATTCATACATGTTTTTTGCATGTATCTTCTTTTAATTTCAGAATAGAATACCATTGTATAAAGATAGTAGGTTGTGTGTATATCTCCTATTGATGAGTATTTGGGATGTTTCCAGATTTGGGCTATTATGAATAAGGCTGCTATGTACATTCTTGTAAAAATCTTTTTGTGGACATGATATTTTTATTTCTTCATAGTAAACACCTAGTGTAACATACGCACATTTGCACACACTGCCATCAAGTCAGATTTGACTCATAGCGACCCTTCCTTGGGTTTCCAAGGCAGTATTACTATGGAAGTAGATTGCTCAACCTTCCTTCTGAGTAGTGGCTGGTAGGTTTGAACCGCCAGCCTTCTGGTTAGCAGTCAGATGCCTTAGGCACTATGCCAACAAAACTCCTATGGTGTAACATGGGACAGTGTAATGTGTTTAGCTTTTTTAGAAGGTGCATGTCTACCTTGAGCATTATACTCTTTTAAGAAATGTATGGGATCAAATTGAAAACAGCAACTTGGAAGATTAGATAGGAACCTTAGGGGGCAGTGAATTTATGTTAGGGAGGGACAACTCAGAAAAAAAGGGTAAGAATGGTTGCACAACTCAAAGAATGTAATCAGTGTCACTAAATGTTACATGTAGAAACTGTTCAATTGGTGTATGCTTTACTATGTATGTTCTCATCAACAACAAAATAAAATTAAACAATTACTATACCATTTTACGCTTTCACCAACAGTATTTGAGAATTCTGGTTGCCCTACATTCTCTCCTACAATTGATGTCGTCAGTATTTTCATTTTACCCATTTTGAAGGGTATATGGTGCATCTCTGTAGTTTTAATTTAGATTTCTCTTATGACTAATGATGTTGAGAACTTTCTCAAGTGTTTTTTATATCTTTGGAGGTCTGTTCAAGAATTTTACCCATTTTTTTTATTGGATAGTATATGTTTTTCCTTGAGTACCTAGAATTCTTTCCATATTCTGTATAGAAGTCTTTTGCCCAATATATGCATTTCACATATTTCCCCTCGTCTGTTGCTTCCCTTTTCATTTTAATAGATGAGCCAAAGTTAACTTTGATGAAGTCCAATTAATCATTCTTTTTCCTTCATGGGTAGTTCTTTCAAACAAGTACTTGCCTATCCTAGGTTGCAAAGTTAGTTCCCTTCATTTTCTTCTAAAAATTTTGTGTGTTTTTTGCTTCTATGATTAATTATTTGGTCCATTTCATGTTAAATTTTACATATAATATGAGGTAGGGCCGAGGGGCTGTTTTCTTCCATGTGGTTTTCATTTTGTTCCAACATGATTTGTTCAAATGTATTTATCTGGTGATTTTATTGAAGATTGTTTTATTGTATTTGTGTCAGTCTGTGTCTGTGCTCTGTAGTCTTTCCTTTTGACAGTATCACCTACTCTTTGATTATTGTGATAAAGTCTTAAATCAGAATAAATTCTCCAACTTTTTTCTTTTTAAAAATTATTTTGTCTATTCTAGAACCTTTTCTTTTTCAGATACACTTTGTTTATTTGTAAATTTTTATTGTAATTCGGGTGAAAGTTTACAGAGCATATTCATTTTCCATGCAGCAGTTCATAAACATTTTGTTTCATGACATTGACTACTACTCCTCACAAGGTAACAGCTCTTTTATCACTTCCTCCCTGTACTTACCTCTTCCCTGTGACCTTCCCTCCCATGCATTCCTCCTATCCCCCCACCAAGCTGTCTCCCTGTGCAAACACAGCCCTTCCATTACCCCATGATTGAGCACTCCAAGGAGTGTATCTACATGATGTAAATGTTCACCCCATATACCTGTCTGTTGTTTAGCTGGAAGCCACAGGATTTCAAATACACTTTATTTTATTTTTTTTTAATTTTTTTTTTATTGTGATTTGGGTGAAGATTTACACAGCAAATTCACTTTCCATACAGCAGTTCACATATACTTTGTCTCATGTCATTGACCACAG